GAAAACATTATGTGCGAAAATCAAACGCTTGCCAAACTTGACCACGACGACATCACCTACCTCTATTCATCACACGCCCAACCAAGTGGTCGGACATGAAATCAAGCACACCTTGCCATTCATTACGTATTACAAGTCCCAAAACCAAGTTCACACAGCATAAATTGTCCGCAGGAGGTACGGCCTCTGTTCGCACTAATGTAGCAGTTCTACTGCTGAAACTGCGGGAAACGCCAAATCTACGTAAGGAGGCAAGCTGACTCTAAAATTAACGGGGATGACTGCTACTACTCATTCGGCAGAGGCAGCGCTATCGCCGGCGACAAAGCCGAATTCTTGAAGGCTCATGTTGCACACCGATGTGGTTCTCAGGAGCTGAGACACAGGCGCTGTTGGTGTGGTGTGTGGCTGGCAGGGGCTGGTGTGTGTGTGGTGTGTGGTTGTGATGGCAGTGGGGGGCGACAGGAGTAGGCGCGTAGCAGGCGCCTCCGGGGAGCGAAAAAAGGGGGTAGACAGCTGGGAAACTGACCCCCCCCCCGGTAAAATGGGGGCCAAAATATCGAGTATCGAATACCGAATATAAATACCGATACCGATTCGTATCGACAGATATCGGCGTGGAAACCGGCAATACCGATACTGCGTATCGGCGATATATATCAGTTTTGTATCGATATTCGATACCCAATATCCAACACTGGCTGATACGCAATGCGTTTCCACCCTCTCAATCAGATGATTGGCGCGCTGGAGACAGTCTCACGGCTGTGCGCTATTGGTCTCGGGCTAGACGAGGAAGCTATTTCAACTCTCATGCACGAGGGCCCGCATCTCCTGGCCCCCACTGGTGAGCGAGTGCATGTTTTTCGACGTTTTATGGCATGGCATCATAGAGAAAACAACGCTGACAATATTGAAGGCGGCAAGCACCGCAGGAGGAAATGTGAAGAACTTTTCCAGTGTGACCCCGCGTGGGACGTCAAAGACGTTTCGACAGGTGTACGCAAGCTCCCAGAACAGATGGGTCGACATAAACATGAACACTGCCCTTTCATGAATGCATTGCTTCTAGTCCCAAGTCACATGCGGTACCGCGGCATATGACAGCCGCGGAATTCTGAGTAGACCGGCATCCTGAAGGAAGTGATTTGCAGCGGCTCTGATTATTTAACACGAACGGTTCCCACATCATGTTTTCCGGCGAATCCTCGACTCGCCTGTTCGTCCGTTCTGCGAGCAGGCTCGAACTTCGACAAGTTTGATTCAGCGGGCACTGTCCTAGCAGGCTACCACTACGATTTTAACTTGTTGACCATTCACGGGAAGAGCCGATATCCGGGTCTCAGCGTTTGGCTGCGAGATGGCAGGTTAGGTGCCTCCGGCGTCCAGGCGAACGTGTTCACGATATTGACTAGCACGTTCGACTCGTTTGAGGCAGCCACAAATTGTCGTCCCAGGTTTCAGATGAGGGAGGTTGAGTATGCTGTACTAGCCCGACGTTTGTTTCAGCACCCTGTAGTTGGAGACACTGGCTGTTACATCGTGTGACGGGTTTGAGGTCGATTATGGTTGTATCAGACTATCGGGGGGGGGTAGTCGTGAGTCTTGGTAGTAACGAGGTCGTGCCCATGTCTGGCTCATGTTCCGGCCGCTGGCGCCTAACCCCTACAATACCTCAGGGTGAACAACGTTCTTTTCGCGTTGGCTGGCGTGTGGCAGCGACCGGCGTTGTGCATTACTATCCCACTCTTTTTCGCTGATCTACCGTGCGTTTTTCCTTGGTTCTGTGTGTCACTGCCGTGAAATTTGTCAGGAAAATGCCAGTTTCAGTGCCTGACGGGTGCCTTTTGGTCCAGGCCGGAAAACAGCTCGAACGGCTCACCGGTGGACACGTGCTGGCTGGCTTTCACGAGGTGCGATCGATCCGTCGCGGTATCGCACTAAGTATTTATTGCGAAGTGGTGTCGCCTTGTGCGTAGCTCACCCTATTGCTCGAGTTCTTCTGAACAGAGAGCTATTGTGTGTTGTCGTGGAAAGCTAGCTGTCCCTTTCGGTGCGAGCTTTGAAGGGGTGCTCTTGCTCCTTCCTTCCTTGTTGCTGCGTCCTACCGCCCGAGTGATTGCCTCTGCCGCTGCATGGCGTGATTTAGTTGAACTATATGTGTGAGGCTCAGCTCGCCCTGGATTTCTCTCAGCACTGCTGTTGGGTTGACATATTGGAAGTTGAAACAGTGATGCCAATCCACTCTTGGCGCTGCTGGCGTTAGGTGGCGGTCTCGCAGGCGACCATCGAGACTATGCGGAAAAGGAAACAAGAGGGGCAGTCTCTGTGGAGAATCTCAAGTACCTGTTTCGGGCACGTCGCGTCCGATCAGGTACGATGTGGACGCAATAGTCAAACTGCCGCCTTTTGCTCTCACGACGTCCCCCATGTTTGTTGCTCTAAACACCTTGCGTTAAGAATGAGCTGTTCGTTGAGGTGGGTCAACCTTGTGGTCTGTTGATTTGGCCCCATCTCTCGGACAACAGTTGATGTTCTTCCACGGTTTGAGAGTTTCAGTCCTCACGTATGAAATGCGCTGGTACTACCTTTCCCGAGATCGACTAGTAGGCACTCGAGGGTAGTGCAGCATGAGGTCGACCTAACGCAGACATCGAACCGGTGCTCGCCAAAGTAAACCCCGCATATCTGGTGGTACCAAATAGGAAAATAGGGGTGCTTTACATGTCCTCGTTGCATGCACGCACAGGTTCTCCGCCCGCTCGGAAAGTTCGCCACGGAAGAGGCTCTCGCCCAGTACCCTTCCATCACGGCCGGGGACATGATGCAGGAGGAGCTCAAGGCCATCAATCTAGCTGCTTGATGAAATCAACGCGTACCTCGCTCTAAATACTTGGGGTGCTTTCGCGCACGCGTGCCCACAGGAACACCCAGGTGGATGTTGGTGCTGGTTTTGTCGGGGGGTGGATGTGCCCTGATGCCACCCCCGCACATGGCAGACGCGGCTTGGTCGGATGGATATGTGCTGTGTTCCAAGTTAAATTTGATGGTAGGAAAATATCCTGCTCCTACTTAAGATACTTTCTACAAGGTATGACCTAATGGCGTTCCGTATTGCGTGGCTGGCACATAACACGGCTTCCATTACTCTTGACAGCTGACCGGACCGGGCCGAAAGGCCCACGGCAACAAATATGAAACTACCGTAATGCGCCGTGTGAAAGGTCGCGGATGATGTCAGCTGATACCGCTGCCGGCAGATTCCGCCTCTGCCCCGTCTTCGCGATGCGGTTGTTGACCAAATTGCTCGCCCGTGATGCCTTCATGCAGCGGTCCAGGCGCAGGGCTCCCCCAATCCCTTCGTCGTCGAGGGATGCCACCTCTGGATGACCCTTTTCTTAGAGGCTCCTGAGAACGAATTTACACAGTACAAATCGGTCATTCGGGTTTCTGATCTCCGCGTGCACACACACACGGACTGAAACAGCTGGTGTGACAACGCCATGTGGACAAAATCCGGACGTATTGCAGTGTTTACGCCGTCGGCAACAGGTGTTTCTGCGTGAAGAGAAGTTGGTTTGACAAGCGAGAGAGAGATAGCGAGAGAGAGAGAGAGAGAGCACCTGCAATCGACCGTGCGTGCAGCGAATGATCCCTGCACCATACCTGGTAAAGTACCCTATTGACCGTTGACATGTCAATGTCACCGATATTTGGTACACGGCTTGCGCTGTCCGGTGACCCGTCCTGTTCCCAGACGGAAGATCGATCGACCACTGGCTTTGCATGCATGTCTGCGAGAAAACATAGCATGCGAACATTTAGATATCATGCGGCAGAATCGACGCACGTGCCCTCGACAGCGGAACATTTTGCACAAAAGAGGCTCGGTGGCTGTCTACGGTAGCACGCACGCAAGTATGGTTGCAAAGTAGTACCCCCACCATAAGCAAGAGCTGCATGCACCTGTGATCGTGTCGAAAGAATCGAGCGGGGCAGTGCTCATGAAGTTGACAGCTATGTAGACCAGAACGGCCACCGACCACGTGACGAAGATGGCGCTCGGGATGGCGATCGCCCAGTACCTGCAGTACGGTCATCGTGGACTCGTTTGGTCAGTTGCGCCAGCACATCGAAGATGATGCTTCTTGCGATCGATCACAAGTGCGGACGCCGGGGGAGGAGCACCAACAACGTGGAGCACATCATATAGCAGTACAACAGCGATGTAAGATGCACATTAGCATGGGGGCCTAAAAGAGTCCTGGAGTGCAGCCTGCCGTCTTGACTACAAATGAGGTGCCTCACTTGCTGGGATAGTAGGTGATGCCAAGGGCTTGGAGAGTGCTCTCCGGCACATACGCCCACACCAGGTAAAGCGCTGTCAAAAGAGGCAAGATATAGGAAACCGATGCAAAGACAACACGCTCCTTTTTAGAGCAACACGCAGCAAGCCTGACATCTGACGAACAGCATAAGATCTCTCGATGTCTCTCGTCTTGGCCTCTGCGGCATCTGCTACAGCAGTGTGGTCTACAGCAGAATGTGCACGACATAAAAGGCGAACCGTTGCGGCGTTGCGGCGCAACCTGCTGGTTCGCTCTGGTACATGAAGCAGCCACAGGCGATGTACGGGGATAAATTCATCACAGCTCACCATACGCCACAAGACTGGCAATCCAGCCTGCAAATCCATAGACTTCCACGATCTCGCCTCCGCCCTCTTTACGTCGCCTTGGAAGGGGATCCATGGTCGAAAGAGAGGTAACAGCAGCAAATGCAGTGAGCGCGCCACGGCGCGTCTCTCTCTCTCTCTCTCTCTCTCTCTCTCTCTCTCTCTCTCTCTCTCAACCCCCGTCGGCAGTGCCGAGTGTCGGGTGTCTGCCGAGATCTACTCGAGGACTCGAGCCCCCCAAGGTAGCAAGCCCTGACCCAACAGCATACCACTCTGGTCCCAGCGGGCCAGCGGGCCTACTGCTGTCCGAGCGGGCCAACCCAACTTGGAACCAACACGCCGCGAGACGCGAGACCCCAAACCCAGTTACCCCTTCGGAACGAAACGGCAAATACAGAAACAATTGTAGTTTCGCCGCGTCAGTCTGATTGGCGAAAGATACGCGATATGTAGCGGATGACAGATGCCAGATGGCGGGATTTCGCTGCCCCTGCGTTCATGATTTTGCAACAATCGAGACAGCAACAACCATGTGTGTCCAGGGTTGCCAGACGTTCATTTGGGGGGGTGCAGGAACTGCCAATTTTGACGAGCACGGTGCTTGCACGTGTGCATGTGAGGGCGAAGGGTGGTCAGAGGGCAACATCCTCGGCGTGGCGTCTTGTGTGCCGCGGAGGGCACATCTGATATTTGGCGCGGTCGGGCTAGCTACTTCCGTAATTGGCCTTTGGCATGCAGCTTACCAGCTCCGTCGCCAGGTAACACTGTTGTCTCAAGGCTGGCTTTGAAATAGAGAAAAAAATGGGAGGTTTTCGTCCCATCTATTCTGGCGCCGGTTTACAGACCTTCTCGGCGTATAACCTGTGACGTGCTTTTCAGAACCGAAGTACGTGTGTTTATTGACGACCTAATACGTGTACAAGTAGATCGATTTCAAGCACAGCTTGCTGGAAATAAATCCCGGGAACAACTCCACGGAGATATTAAGGAATAATAAAAACACACACAGAAAGACTGCCCATTCGAGATATACCAGATATGTTACCGAACCCGACAAACCTGCTGCTAGGGAGTCATATGGTCCAAAGAAAAGACAGGTGTACCTCAGCATACCCCGCTGTCGTGCATGTTGCATGCGTGCTCGGAACGCGCATGGGACGCCTGTCTAGGTGTAGTTATGATCCCCCCACCTGATAGTTACCATATCCTACAGGGGAAACATCTCTGCATGTTGCTCGAGAATCAATAGAAAGTCAGCTAATGTCACACTTACACTAGAAATCATCTTGAGTACGTCCTGAACTCTGGTCTATGGGAAACATGAGTTCTGATTACGCACATGTTCTTGTTGTTCGTGAACCAGTGATGTGCACGCATGTGTGACCCGCACTGATCATGGGAACGAGCTGAACATGGAACGGAGGCATATAGAGGTTCCAAGTACAGAACAGCAGACATTTTCTGAGAACTGACGTCGCGTACGACAGCAGTACATTCGAAGAACATAGATTCCCCGTCCAGGTTCAACCACGTTCTGTCCGAAAGCAAGTAAGGGAACCTACGCTCACTGTCTCCGTCTTTTGATAATGTGCCCCCCTCATTGCGGTCGACGGAGAGGGTAACACGCCATGAGCAATATTCCGTAAGTGTCCGTGATTGTTGTACGTTGGTGACAAACGTAATAATGCAACAGCGTGTTTCCGCCATTTGATATTCGTCGCCCGCCTGGGAAGTGACCCACTGGTGGCCCTTAAGCTTGATCTTCGGTTGGACAATATCGGTCGAGGTTACGGCAGGTGTCCACCGTGGAGTGAACAGACGATTCAGGATATGGCAAGAGGCTGACTCTTGCCTTGCCCCCACCCTGCGCCCACGGGCAGGTTAAATATCACGCACGACGTTTTGGGGCCTCAACCTCTTCCACGGAGAAGTGCCGCAGGAATCTTCACATCGTAGCTATCACCCACGCTTGCATCACTCTCGTCTTCTTCTCCCTGGTATTGGTGCTACACGCCGGGCAGCTCTGGGCATCTGCTTTTCTGGTTTCCGGCATAATCCAGTTCACAACCAACATTGGGGGTTTCTTGACCATACGGATGTGGATTTACACGTAAGAACTGTTAAATTTGGGTGTATTACCATGTTTTCCAGCCGTAGGATGAGAATGAAACGTTCTACATCGGAATAGGGAGACCTTGAAAATATCGGAAGTTCTCTTTTAGTAATGAGTCGCAAATGTGGTCGCTGTTGCATGCACGGGTCTACTGAACGGGTGTCACCATACATCATCTTTGCGTGGTTCACACGTAACAAAAGAACGACCCATTTTCGTGTTCGGTGATACAAACTGTACCCTACGGTCGGAAGCGATTCAAACGACGAGCTAGAGCAGTCATGCTGCTCGTGGTTGTCAGCAAACGGCGCAAATTCTTGTATACTCACAACGTGCACTATCATTGATATCGTACTGCTGTGGAACTTTCATTCTTTTCGTTTTTTGCAGAAATCGATCGACACATCATTATTGCGTTTGAATGGGCAGCTGACTCTCATTTTTCTCTGGTACAATTTTCAGAAGTGTACCATGTTTCAGTTAGGCAATATCTCCCCTTGAAGTTTTCTTGTTACCGAAACGGAGCAACGTCGACCCTTCAAATACTGACGTTATGCACAAAACATTTGAGATATGAGATTCCAGGATACCAGGTGATTCTTAGGAATCATGGCGAGGCCGAAGAAGATATTCTCCTACTAACAGTGCGTGCGTGCGGGCATTTTAACGCTGGCGTCAAAAGCAGGAGGCAGCCTCCCCTGATACCTCGTACTTAACTCGGATCCATTCCTTTGTGCCAGCAACGATCCTCGGTTGATGCAAGATACTCCGGAAATGTTGGCGATATCGAACGCGTTGGAACAGCCGGTGAAGCGTTACGCGTCCTACATCGTGGTCTGCCTAGGCGCGGTCGTTGCAACTATCCTGACAGTGACCACGCATTCGCAAGCGGCCGTCAAGGTCGCCTCGGTGGCGTTTCTGGGGCTGATTGTATCGTCCAATGTGGTCATCTTGAAGTGCGGTACATCTCTAGTGCGCACCATTGACAGGTCTTTGAATGAACCCAGAAGGAAGATGTCCACCTCAGCAACAGCATCAGAATCGGCACAAGGCGAGACGTACTCATGTTTTGCATGCTTTCGCGGTTGGGCCATTGACCACGCGTCCTCGAGAGGACGGAGCGTTGCTCCCACAGGACCGATCACCGATGGCCAATCGTTCCTTCCTACTTTGCCAAAGGTGTCTCAAAAATGTGTTCCCTAGTCTATCTATTCTATCGATATCTTCCCGCCTTTTCAGCCTGCTTCCTATGCCCCAGCATAGCTACTGCTTCTCCTTTGGCTATTCCATGATTCAAACATTTCTCCGTATCTTCCTTCTACTTTTCCCAGCTCAGTCTTGTACATTTCTCTCTCCTTTTCGCAAAACGACAGGCGAGAGAGGGGTGGATTCTTCCCGCCTTCTGGCAGCACGGAAGAAAACAATGTTCGCAATGGAGTTTTGCCTGGTGACCTCCTTGCTCACAGATATCGCCCTCATATTCGCCGCCTTCACTACGTACGGCACCGCCGCACCGTTGGTCTTCTTCGGCCTCCCTATGGGCTTTGCGCCGACCATCTGGTTCATTTTCAATATCCAGCTACACGCCGGCAGGAGCAACCTGCGGGGTTCGCCAGGACTGTTTTCTGGCACCGCCGCACAATACCCACGGGCGTTTGCTCTTTTTAGCAGTGGCCGGAATCTCAAGCTAGCAAATGCAACTTCGAATAGAAAGCTGGTTGTTCCAACCGATTTCCCCACATTACCCTGACCAGGCTGCCGTAAGATTGCCAGTTGTCACACCCCCGTGAGGTCGTTTCAACGTTTTCGCCTTTTCGTTTTCATAGCGCCCCTGTGAGAAACCTCCGGTACGTGAGATTCTGAGTAAAACCCTGCAGGTGATAATTGGACATCTCAAGCACACCTGTACAATGACACCGGTATGTACCTCGAAGAAATCTTTGCGGGTGAACGGATACCTCGGTTGTGCTGCGGTTGCAGGCTTCACACGCGACGTAGGTAGACACACCCACAGAGGCGATCAAGGCAATGCTCTGTGAAACATCACACGTTGGGAAATGCCCGTAGAAAGTTCTTGTTCGCACTCTCTTGTATTCCAGTATGTAGCAGGTTGCCTGCCCAACCTTCATGTGTGCGTGCGTGCATCCCAGCAGTAAGGACGTTGTCGCTGTGGTGTATCTGGTAGATAGTAACGGGGTTGAAGACAAATAGGTCGCGCTGCGGTTGCATGGTAGAAACGTAGGCACGGTGGTACCGGTGGTTGTCTTGGCTCGTGGCTACTGTTTTTTCTTTGTCATGCTTTGATTGTTGAGTGGGCAAATATTACCGCTTCAATGAAAGTACCACTGCAAATTATCTATGTTTTCTCATCCCCTTCATACCTTCACACGTGGTTTGCGACAATACCAAATATAGCGGAGCTAACAGACCAGCACCGGAATGGTTGCCTAGATTGCGTGTTATATCGCACGTCGGTGGTCGCCATCATATGTTCCAACTCCATGTCACGGCACCACCTCGGCGGTGTCATAGGTTAGCTTATCTACGACACAGCAAAAAACTAGTCAAGATCACCTCCAATGGGCACGAAACAAGCTGAGTTGCCTTCGCACGGCCCCCAGCCGTCATGCAAGCGTCCGTTCGGCATAAACCGATACGTTTTCCGGTATATGCCCAAGAATGTGGCCACAACCCCACGTCGGCGGTGTCGTAGACGGGGCTTTATCCATGACGCTGCTTGAAATGCTTCAATTATTCAATGGGTACGAAACCACCTGCGATGTGTTTTCACGGCTCCCAAAACGACACATGGTTGCCGAGATACGCCCGAGACAAGAGGCCACGTGTTGCCCTTGTCGCGCCTTGCTACCATTGATGTCGTCGCAGTTTGGGGGGGAGAGTAGCAGTTTTTCCAACGGAAGGCCACTTGTTCCGCATCATCGGAACATAAACTGAGTGATCCCACACTCCCACAGGCACGCGCCTGACCCGTGATTCGTCATTCCCACAACGGGTCGTTCGTCATACCCACACCGACGCCAAGGACAAATGACGAGGACGAAGCCTCAAGGCGGCCAAGACGCGGGAAGCGCGTTCCTTGAAGGAGGGCGGAAATGTTTGCTCATGTTAGTCTTCTCGCATGATTGGCTTGCCTCTGTGGAAGATTACTGCTGTCCGTCGTTGCCGACGGGTGAGAGAATCGACAGACAAGCTTACTGGATATTTGGCACTTGTGACACTTGTTCGTACTTGTTCGAGATTCTTTTTTCTGGGTGGCCTCCTCTTGGAATGCAGGCAGGCGAAAGAACGACTACTCCACCTCGCTTGGCAGTCGGTGGCTTGAAAAGTGAAGACGCCCCAAGTATGGACTGTACCAACGGAAATGCTGTCGGCTCGTGGAGCATGTCTCTACTGCAAGTAGTAAAGAGGTGAACTCGTTTCTCGACGCGAACACCATCATGACAGCAGATGGCGATGACATACAAAGTGCAAACAGTTCCTGAGAAAACGCTGACTACCACACCGTCCGGTCCGAAGACACGGAGGGACGGTTGAGAAGACTACGCCAAACGTTGTGGGATTTTGAGGCGGCTATTTGGCAGACCGGACAAAGGGCAGACGCTTTATCGCCGCTAAAATAATAGTTTTATCTTCTAGCAGAGATAAATCTTCGTCCAAATCTATGGAGTTCCCACCATTAAATAGCGTTGATTTCCTTGCCCCCTTGACGCATCGTCGCCACCCGGAGGACCATACTGAAAGCTTCCGCTGTTGTGCGAGCCTAACTAATGTCCATGGTCACCAGCTATTCAATGAGACATACGAAGTATGCTGTAGTAACAAACACCTTGAAATAGACTGAAGACCTAGAGTAGGTCGCACCAATCGCCAAGAAGGAATTCCGCCAAAAAATTCCAGAAAAGAAGATAAACAGCACCATACTAAGGCCAAGGTAAAAGGACCCCCCCCCCAAAAAAAAAGGAAATAGATCCCATTCCTAAACTCGGAATCTGCGTCACAAGCAAGCTTCCAGACAAAATTCAAGCCTGAAGAAGCTTCCCTTTGTACAGTGTTCATCGTGTTTTACTCCGGCGGCCAAGACGACTGTGCCTACCGCCATTTGTTTTTTGAGTTGGAAAATCTTGACAAAGTTTGAAAGGAACGCACACCGTCACACCATTTGAGCCCTCTATTGGCTCTCTCCGATGCTTTCTCCAAAAGAATGCGAGGTCTTGCCAAGCATGTTTACCGTGCCTTGTCCTCGTCCAGAAAGAACACCGAACGTGGGAAGGGTGTACGCGCCTTTGCGTACCCAGTCGCGGACGACCTCACACTCGGACACGACGTCAAACGAAACGGTCAGCGGCGGTTCTTTCTGCCGGACAGCAATACCACGTCCTCCGCCGGGGTCACCAGTGGCTGTCGTGTCAGGCGCAACGTCACAATCTTCCTCGGTGGCGCCTGCGGTCTCCGCGCCTGTGCCCATGATTTGTCTGGCCACGGAGGGTTCATTCTCAGCACCGGTGGCTTCTTCAGTACCCACAACCACCTCTGCTGCTGTGTCCTGCTTAACTCCATGCCCTTGCTTTTCGTCTTGATGTCGCCTTGCTTGCTCCCTTTTCGCAACAAGCTCACAAACACTGGACACGTCGGCTGGCGTCATTCTGCTCCCATGCCCAAGGATGGCTCTTAGATGCGGCAACGATACACGCGGGAAGACACCGTCGCGTCGGAACGACGACATAATACCCGTAGCTCCAGCGGCCACGTCCTGCATGTTACCAGCGGACGAGGACGGAGCTGCCACACGGGAAGCGACCGTGCCGGCGGAAGCAACCTCTCGGTTGCTGTTGGCAACGATTGTGTCGTTGTGTGGTCCCGAAGACGAGGTCTCGGCAAGCATGAAAAAGGCTCGAAAGAGCCCTGCGGAAAACGGGATCCCTGCGATAAAAGTGTACCAGAGGCCAAGGGCAGCGTGACATGTAGGTGTCGGTGGTGGGATGGCAACGCGGTTACACATGAAAATCTGATCCTAGTACAACTGTGGAGTAGTTTACAATCGCAACGTACCTATCGGACGATAACGAGGCTACGCGGACGTCACTCTTGTTAACTCGGTACACCAAAATTGGTGCTTCAATTCTTCTAGCTTTCTTCTTTACAACAACAACGCCTGAACCTCACCAGTATCCCAAACGCCCTCTTCATCCTCCCCTAGAGAAACATCCCCTCCTGCACCAGCGTTCGGCACTGCGCACAGGGTCAGTAACAGGTCCATCCCATCCACCCGCCCGTCGTCCCCCCCCCACACTTGCGAGTACACCTTTCTGATCAACTGCGACGCATCCCTGTCGGCTCGCTCCTCTCCGTGCTTCACCTCGTCCCTCTGCTGCTCAAACCACAGTGGTGTTCCAACAAAATGTCTTTGAGCGATCCTCAAGGTTGGCATCTGTGTCGTAGAGGAACGCACATCAGGAGAAGCAGCATCCGCTGCCGGTCCGATCCCCACCGATGTTTGTGAGACGGTTGAGGCCTTCAGACACAACGCGTTTCGTAAGGAGATGAGGTCGTCGAGGGTTGGAAGGGACCGAACGTGCCCGAGAAGAAGGCAGTGTATCAACCTAGAGGTTTCGTGCACCGGGAAAGGCAGAGCAGAAGGGGTGGTCTGAATGACGCGGAGTTTCGTCTTGTACGGCGAGCGTCCTCCGACGGGGGGCGGGTGTTTAATGCCTTGGAGTAGTCCATGCACCGCGAAGGTGAGGTTTAATCTAAATCCACACCTAGCAACTGCAAGTCAGAATAAGCAAAGGCTGTACGTGGCACCCCTGTCCATCCCTCGCCCTCTCCTAACCCCAGGCTTACGAGATCCGGCGCTGCGTATTCTGATGAAGTCTCCCTCACCTTCTCCATGACACGTCGTCCATGCCGTCGGCGGTCGCACCGCAGAGCGTGTCGATATACCCGTTGCCTGAGCTGATCCACGCTCGAGGAATATCCGACATTATCCCTTCCCTGTTGCGTTCGGTTATTTTCGAGTGCAACCAAGCTCTCACAGCACGCGATAGATCCGCCACCGCCATAACAGTATTGCTCCCAGGAACACCCTCTGCCCCCGAGAGACTGCGCTGCAGAGAGTCGGCGAGGCTTGCGATGCAAGGTAACCCAAGGCCGTTCATCCCCCACGGGAGTGCCACGAAAGGGTCGGCGGCAAATGTTTCATCGTCCTCTATCCAAAGCTGTAAAAATTGACGTTCGAAGTTACCACACATGTTGCGACAGGGGAGGACCAACGAGGATTTGGCGATCGGTTGTTTTCGTTGGAAAATTGAGAGTGAGTGGTACTCACGCAGACAGGGCCCAGGCCTACATGTAGCACCATTGCCTCGTGGTACCAGTTTTGGGGGTCTGCATCGTGCATCCAGTTGTTCTTCTCGCTAGACACGCCGCTCGTAGAGCTGTCTCAGGATCTCCACTATTATTGTGGTGCTGCATGTACAACATTAGAACACCAAGTATGGAGGCATTCTCGAACGCTAACTGCTGTGCCTGTGTCCACTGGGCCTCGCGGAGCCCACAGGAATCAACCGCTAACGGCGCACACAGGCGAAACTTCGTGAACGTAGGTGCAATGTTGACCTACCGGAATGCCGTTTTCCAGCATATCTGCGAGAATGACATGGTCACATTCTTGAAGAGCCCGCCGCACCGTGGCGGTTGCCGCGCTGATGCCCTCGTGTTCCAGCTGCACGCGGCGGCGCTTCAGGCGCCTCAACGCTAGTCGCATGGACAAAACTTTGGCCTCGCAATCCCCAACTGCCCTCAAGAGGCGCATAACCACCCCTCTCAGTCGGCAGATATACGTTTGTCGGCACCGCCAAATGGCTGCCTTCAAGGCTTCGCTTGCCCTGCTTTCTCCGCATTCTTCGATAGTCACGCTTGTTTCTGCTTTCCTCTTTGTCGGCGTATCGTTTGTAGCGGTCCAGTCACTGCTTTGCCCCGCCGAACTGGAAAACTCTTCAACGCCTTCGATCGCTTGGGGAAGTGGATTTTCTTGCCGGGTTTCGCAACCAGCATTTAGGAGAGTTACGGGCTCCTGACTGGGCCCGTGGGCAGGCGAAGTCGTTCCAATACGCTGGTATACCTGTTCCAACGCTCTTGAGACTTCTCCTTCAAGACAGCTCCCCACTGCTGCGAAACGTCGCCTAGCCTTTGTCACCTCTTCGACGAGGGCGTCCGCTGCTGCGTATGTTGCCTCCCGAATTGTTTGTGCACTGCTAGTGTTGTCGTTTGGGTCTTCTTCAAGGCCGAACAGCCGATCGAAGACGCAAAGGGTGTCTACAGTCTCAAGGTACGTGGCTCGCTCCGCCGCACAAAGGTCAGTAGCGGCGCTTGCGACGTCGCCGATCCAAGCGCGAACTTTGCGGTCGGCTTCGCCGTCGATCTGTCCCACAATTGTCTCTGCCGAGGAATGACGGTCGTCCACCACGTCGCCCGCCTCGAGTTGGAAGGCTTCGAGCGCCTCCCACACGCAATCCCCTTCCGCCGGCGGGACGGAGGCAGTGATCGACTGGTCGTCCCTACTGTCCCTCGTCGCACGGTCACCTCTGCTGCGCCTGCTCTGCATTGCTTCGAGAGCATCCCTCCTTCGCGCCAGCCAGCCCGCCATCTGTGCTTCGAGCCGAAGGCATGCGGTTGCCCACCGATCGTCGGGGTTTCTTAGCTCCTTCGAAAACGAGAACTCAGCGGTTGAGGCCCAGTCGATCACCGAGGGTGCCGGACTTTCGGCCTCTAGTTTTCGTAGCGCTGTCTGCTGCGGCGAGCAAGCACCTTCCGTAGTATCTGCTGCCAGAACGCTCGCCTGGGAGACTGCCGATCGCACGCCTTCCAAGTCCAGCTCTCGGTCTCCCATCAAAGCCTCGAGCTGAATTCTAGTGCTTTGAGACATATTTCCCCGCCGTTCCCGACGTAACCTTTCGACGGATGCCGAAAGCGGAACCGCCAGCGGCGAAGGTCGGTCGGTGACCATCGCAATGGTAGAATGCGATTTGGTGTCGCTAGGGGGTTCAGAGGAGCCACCACCTTCCAGTGCCTGGGTGGCCTCAACTTCCGAGTTTCTTCGAGATAACGCCGGTTCTTTTTGCCAGAATTCGTGCTCGTCCTGTACAAGAGAGCGGTACGAACAACACGCAGACACTCCAGTAAGACTGACATCATTTCATTTGTCAGCCGGTTAGCACGGTCGATGCAAGTAAGAAAACACACACACACACACACACCATGGGCGAGAGCTTGGACGAACATGGGTACTGAAGCTTTACCTGCTATTGCTGAACACGACAGGTCTAATAAGAAGTTGAGCGAAAGGATGCTAGAGCTCGAGCGCTCTCAATGTTGTCATTCTTCTTGGAACAAGGGATTGCATGAGGTGTGCGACACAAACACACCGACGATCACATCTCTCAAAGGGGCATGCAACTGGAGGAGAACATCATCAGTACACCTCCGGCTACTCTCGCGAGCCTGGTCAAACCGCGACAGAAAGGTGTGTTGGTGACATGACGGCTCAAAAGTCTCACCTTCCGGTTTTGCGCAATGTTCACGAGCAAAAACAGAGTCTCGAGAAGTCGTTCGTTGTTGGCCTCGTTTGGCACGTCGCACGAAAGATGGCCGCCCTCGAAGCCTTGCAACCACGCGATCTGCGCGCGTCTCTCTGCCAAGCATTTGCTGCGCTCGACATCTTCCTCGTCCTGGCCGCCACCATTTCCGTCGGCCTCGTCCGTTGTTGACGCAGCAGCCAAGTCCTCGTTCGGTGCATTTGCCTCTGCATCTCCCTGGATCCCAGCCACAGAATCTTGTGGTAGGGCCCCTACACGTGGCGAGGACAAGCACGGCTCGGCCAGACTCAAGACTGCGTCTAACCCCGATCGCGGAAGGGCGCGTGGTGGTTCCTCCTGTTGTTGAAGCGCTAGGCTCATTTTTTTTGTCTTCGCGTCGGATTTCGATGCCTTACCAGCCGTCCCAAGCTCTGCCGCTACCTCATCGTCTGTGTAGCTGCTCAGAGCGTTCTCGAGCAACTTCGACTCGAGGAGAGTAGTGGGATAACCGACGAGAATCCATCCGCGCCCGCTCGGCGCGCGGCACGATAAGTGCTTCACCAGGAGATCGGTCGTTGTCGCTAGAGGAACGGGTGCCGAAGCCTTCTTCGGGTGCGTCCGCAGCGCATGATACGCCATCGCTGCCGCTTTGAACGCGGCGGTATCTTCGTCTGTTGCGTCCGGGTGGAAGCATCTCCGGGCGGTCGCCTTTTCGGCTTCTTCTGCTGCCGTCTCAGCGTCTACCCCCGGCGCATTTTCTCCGGAGTTCTCACCCCCGACGCTGCTTTTTCTACCCGAAATGCTCCCCTTCCGGCTCTTCCCACCCTTGTCGTCCGATGCGGCCGCCTCCGCGCCCACTTCCATGGCGCATTCCAGGGCGGTTTCCATACTACACACGTACACACCTACCCATTGGCCAAGCTCGGCTGCCAGGTCAAACAGTCCATCCCTTCGACTGAGTAGCACCAGCCTCACATCCGGCCTCGTGGCCTTGTCGTCGCCAGAACGACTGTTGCGACCGTAATTGGGAGCCTCTCGCGGTGTGCTTCCCGAAGCTTCCACCAGGCCCCTTGCAACGCCCAATGCCTTAGCTAGCGGGGAGGGGGCGCCAAAGAGTTCTGCTGGTACGTCCTCTCGCAATCGCCATAGCCCCTCACAGCGATCTAAGTTCTGACTCTCAAGGAAGGCCTTCGCATCCAAAACAGGGTCACGAGGTTCTGGCGTGGGCTCGGGCGGGGTGGAGTCTACAAAAAAGGGCTCGGGAGAACAGAACCGGCGTTTAAGGTGAGCCCAAGCCGTCGGAGGCAGTGGAACTCCGCCGCGACTCGCACGCAATTCTGACGAAACCACCGCGAGATCCGACATCTTGTGCACGATTTCCGCGCACATCGTCTCTGCCCGGCGCCGTTTTTCGGTGCGAGTTTGTTGTACTCTGATGCGGAGCGCTTCGTTGTTCGCCATTCGTTCGGCACTTCTCTCCTCGTAGCTCTGACGAGTGCAGTCTGCTCGTGCGTTGAAAGCGGTCTCGAACGCGTCTTCCTGCGCAGCCGCCATTTCGGCGAATCTCCTCTTGTCGGCGATTGCTTTCCGTTCAAGGTTTCGCCTCTCCCCCCAGCAAGCTGCGGCGGCTTCCTGGCGCTCGCGCCCCTTGTCCAGCATTTCTTTCAGGTGTTTTTCTGCGCGGCGCTTTGCATCCGTTTCTGCCGTGGCGCGTCGCTGGTCCACCTCCGTCTTTACCCGGCGATCCTCGCGCTCTTTGCGACCCCGGCGTCCTGTAACGCCTCGGAAACGGAGCTCGGCCATGGCCTCAGCGTTACTGCTCGGAACGAAATTTTGGTCGAGTACTGCGCGCACGAGCCTCGAACGGAAAGACGCTGGCGTCTCCTTGTCGGGCGAGAGAGCGCCGGCTCCTCCGCCACCGTCAACGCTACCGCCCCCGGGGTCTAAGCCTAGCCTGTCTAAGTTGTGCTCGAACCATCGGATGCCGTCGGCCTCGTCGTTAGAATGGCGATTGCGAGAAATGCGTTTCCGTGCTGCCGTTGTCGCCTTGACTGCCAGCTCGTAGTTCAGCAGTCGCCGCTCGTAGCGACACAACGAAGCTTGATTTGAATTCCATTTTGCCCGGCCTTCCCTGCAGGATTTTGAGGCAAGGAGAATAAAGAATAAAGCCGAGTGAAGATTGCCAATAACTCTAACCCACAATCCCAAGTAGTATGAAAGTAGCAACCTCAAAGGTCGTCTTTCGGTAGACGGTCGAAAATAATTGCTTTCGTGTCAGTATACCGTGTATGCAGTAATGGTGAGCTTCTGCCATCACCTAAACCTCAAAATCGTATTTCCCGCGAGCGGTGTGCGGCTCACCTCTCCCAGTTCTGAAGGAATTCTCTCCTAACGGTAGAGCGAAGGAGCCATCTCGACCTCCTCTCATCTCTTCGACGTATCGACTGTTGGCCCTCATCGCTCTCTTTCATCGAAATCTCACGCTGGGCAGCCTTGTCTCGATCTTCATACTTTTTTCGGCGGAACGTGAAGACACCGATTAAATAAAAAAACGACGGAGAAAGTTGCACGCCCGAGCAAAAGTCAGAGGGCCCCACATTGGGTGATGTGGCCCGCAAGTGGAAACTACACCGGAATACCGATGCTGCATCCTGCTTGCTACTTCTTCAGTACTCATTGGAAGGTACACCAGGGTATTCTGAAGGAGTTTGTAAGTTCCAATGGACACCGTGTGTCATAGTACTGTACATGTAGTTGTACTGGAATTTCCTCAATCGTTATTATTTATTGGTCATCACAAAGTTGAATAGTAAACCGCCACTCGCAGCTTGTTCCATCCTCTCTATGTATGGCCTGCGATGAAGAGTTTGGATCGGGGGCTGTACAAGAATTCCATCCTGCTACAAGTATGTGCCCTATTTCTTAATCATCGCAAGATATTCGGAACAAGATCCCTCTGTGTTCTCCCGCTCGGCTCTTGTGCTTACTCTGTAGGCGGGGCGACAGCAGTATAAGAAGCACACACAGGCAATGCGTTAGTTATATCCTCTTGAAATCTACATGTTTCCCTGTCTACAGACGCTCAGCATCATCCATTTCTGGGGTCCAAAATTAAGGGAAAATAAATAGCAAAACAGGCAAGAGGTGAGAGTTTTTTTGCCTCACCTTCTGCTGCTGCACTGTGAGCATGAGTTCTTTCACGTTGACCGCCGCGGCTCTGGTCATGGTTAAGTTGTCCTTTCCCCACGAGGTCAGACTAGCCCTCCGGAAAAGCTTTGGGCGTACACTTTGCAGTGAAGGGGGTAAGGCCCTCGCACCGCCCACGCCGCGCCTGACATCATGGCATTGCGTGTCTGTCACCATGACGGTGGCGTGTGGTGTGGCGGTATGTGTGTGTGTGTGTCGCAACGTGGCGACGAGACACCGTCCCCGACGACACAGCTGCCACGGCAGGTGGTTTCAGCGTTAGAGTTGCTGGTCAAGGACACGAGAGACTATCGCAACCTTTTATCAAGCACAATGATCGAGTTCATATCCCCAGAACCTGCCACGCACACTACACTGGGCGCTCGCAATGGTCTTCATGTGTGGTCGTTCTTGAACGTGAAGTCGAACATCGAAACGCAAGTTGATGTTGTTTGACGGTTTCACTGTAATAATTCCCCGCGTTTGGCATCGTAAACCCCCCGCCTTTTTTGCGCCATGCGCCATGCCCAATGCACCCACAACACCGTCCGTTCCCAAAGAGGACCCATTTTTACCCACCACGCGCACCTCCTCCACACATCCTTCCCTGACCATGTACTCTCGGTGTGCTCTGGTGGCCGTGGCTGTGGCAGGTGAGCAATGCAGTTGCATTTGGTGCTCCTGGTACACGTGTCAGTTGTCTTGTTGCCGCAGTTCACGGAAGCCAGCTCCACCCCACAGAGCACAGCAGCTCCAAAGAGGTTTCTGTGTAAGGATTGGTCTCACACCCGAGCATTCTCGGCATCGGGTATGCATTGCTGCTTCGGCCGTAGCGCGCCGACCGACTGCGCGACGTCCTTGCTCGATGCAGCCAAGCTTTCTAGTTGATGTTTCAATGTTCTATTGGCTTTTCAGATTACACACGCTCCGATGGCCGCACACACACAACGGCTGGGTTAGCAAAAAGAGAGGGACATTGCCTTACAACAGTATTAGTACATAGTTGCACTTGCTTGTGACAGCCGTTCCTACTGCTGTTGCGCATCTCTCTCGCATGCTTTGACAGGACTCAGCGTGTCTGATGCCTTCGTGGCCACGCCCTTCATGGGTGGTCGTGTAGCTGGGGCCGGTCCCGTCGCCAACGGCATGTCCATGGTGAGGGGAGAGCAGCAGCAGGCACCAAGAGGCACTCACATGTTTTGCTCTTCTTCGCAGACTTCGTTGCGATCGTGATGCAAATACACCACGCTAGCGCGGATCACCGACTGCTATGCGCGTGAACATTGCTTGCCGAGGGTCATGTACGCCCTTTGAGACCTGAATCCACCTTCATGTAGGGCCGGATCGAAAAAAAACGACCAGGAGCTTTGCCTTTAGCCACGTGGTTCCCGCGGTCATGTACAACATGTGGCAATAGAATGCCAAATGAGAGGAGCGAAACGTGCATCCAATGTTCACAATGTTGAACATTACATTTTCGACTAATTATTACTAAATACCTATGGTATAACTATTGTTCTGTAGTTGAGCCCAGCTCGTGATTATGTGGAGACAGACATCTCGGCCCTAAAAGGCGGGCCGAGATGGATAACCCTTTTGTTTTCGGGCTGACGAGGAAGCTTGGTTGTGGCATTCACCGCCCACGCGATAGGAGCGCTTCGCCACATCATCCTTGCGTCACGCATTCAGGCGGCTGCTTCTGTACTTATAACCCCCCTTGAAACGTGATCGAGGTTACTCGGAATTCATACGTAGGCTGACCACATCATATAATTTTCCTGAAAGAATGACCACCACGGGCGTCACTCTATAGTATATAGTTGGTCCTCCCGCCCCATGTTGTAAATAGTCGAGGAGAAACCAACGGATAACAAAGCCCACAAGACTGCTGTGCCGATGGACGCCCGCCCGCGTACTCCGAGATTTTCTTGGCCACGCGACTCCACACAGCACTGACCCATCCATCCATTCTAACCGGCACGAAAACACAGTCGGCCATCTCGAAGGTGGTGGGGCGCGAGATCATCGACTCCCGCGGGAACCCCACGGTGGAGGTGGACATGTACACGGAGGACGGCATGTTCAGGGCCTCGGTGCCCAGCGGCGCTTCTACGGGCGTGCACGAGGTCAGCAGCGTGTCTAGTGGATACACTAGCCGCGTAGCCTCCCGCTGTGTACGGGAAGATAGATCCATTGCTTTTCTATCCCGAACTCTTCTTGTCTGTGGAAGAGATGAGAATTGCCGAGTTGTTATTAGCAAGAATATTTAGATGGGTCTTGTCAACCATCACTTGACGGCAACGTGGGGTTGAACTATTCCGTGCCTTGCTCACGCCCCCAACACCGAAGTGTTGAAGCTTTTCATATCCGCCCCATGGCTCTACACATTTGAAATCAGTTATGGTTGAGCCACCATCCCCAGAGAGAGCAAAGAGAAGCTAGCACTGGCATTTCAAGCGCCCGCGAACGTGGAGCATCAGGCAGATGAGCTTCGCATCCGGGGCGGCCTTTCGCTGCTCGCGAAACTCCAAGACTCCCAACAGGTTGATGTTGAACAATTTTTTTTTGGTTACCTGCATGTGAGAACAGGTAGGGCATTTGAAACAAATTGACAAATGCTTTTTAAGCAGCAAACAACAATATAATTATCATATTCAATAAAAGCCTGATGACCATGGGCACACAAGACCCAAAGCAACACTCAAGCCCTGTCTGCAGCCTTCCAACGAAGGGTGTGCAAATCCCCCAATACGGACCCCTTGAATACTAGCATCTCACCGGCACGGGCAACGGCTACACAAGCTCCGTTGCCCTCGTTTACTTCCACACGCACGGCCGCAGCTGTTTTTCGTGACACACTGTTACATTTAGTATGTTACATGAGTACGGAAAGGTAAAGGTACTGGATAAGATGTGAAGGCAACAACAACAACAACAACAACAACAACACTATACCCGCTCCCTGGCCACTGTGCGCCCCAGGCGTGCGAGCTCCGTGACGGCGGTGCCCGCTACAGCGGCAAGGGCGTACTGAAGGCCGTCAAAAACGTCAACGAGGTCCTCGGCCCCATGGTGGTCGGGATGGACCCCACCGAACAGCAGGCGATCGACGACGTGAGTAGACAGCGGCCGGAGAGGGTGGACTGGGCACACGCTTGTCTACTCGAAAGGATGAGCCAATTGTTTTTAGCTACCTTTTATCATAACGATCGTTTTTTCCATGTGTAGTCGCCTCTGATTGGCTGGATGGCTCTTTCTCATGAGAGTGGTGGTGCTGGCTACCTCGCCGTACTTGATAAGCACGTGATCAGGGTCAGGTTTGTCTTGATAGGACCGCTTTATTCGGCCCGGGAAGTATGAACCCCACCCTCTCTTTTCTACGTGGTGGATGGTCCCATAACCTCGTGAACAAGTAACCAACGTAGAACGCGTGTTCTCCTGCCTTTCTTCAACCCGCCCCATCGTTCAGCCTCCACATGTGTGTACGTGTCGGTGATGTTGTTGTTCTGGTGTTAGTGGGTTACCACAATAGACATGAAACATCCCGTTTCTGCCGTCTTTTCGGGCCTGTCCCCTCTTTCTCCCACGGGTCCTCAACAAGCCATCCGCCAGCCACCCCTACACACCAAAACTCGATGAGTGGGCTAGTACAATCTTCTCAACCCCTGTTCGTTTCGCACCTCTCCTCCTCTTCCTCCTCCTCCACCTCCTCCTCCTCCTCTGCTGCTAACCGCTCGTGTCATTGCGCTCCGTCCTGGCAGGCCATGCTCAAGGAGGACGGGACGGACAACAAGACCAACATGGGCGCCAACGCCATCCTCGGCGTGTCTCTCGCGGCGGCTAAGGCCGGGGCGGCATCGAAGGGCGTCCCTCTGTACCAGGTGTGCTTGTTGTGAGATTCAAGATTTCTTGATTCTCCCCTCTTGCTAGATGTCAAATCAGTGGTGTTGTAGGGCATATGCCCGTGACAGGTACCCGGTAGTCCGGTAATTTTCCAATCCCTCCGTGATTTCCGATTTCAGTCTTTGACTCGTTTGGATTCAGCCGATCGAACCACGATTTCTATCATTGAAACGCTGTTCTTGAAGTTTTTCTGGGTGAACTTCTTTTATTCTGTTCTAGACCGAGCGCGTACATTTGCGCAGACAAGAGTCACACCTGTTCGTCATGCAGTTTCGTTGTCGCCGTCTGAAACTATTTCTGTTTCTTCGATCCGCACACCCGCCACATTTTTCAGCACTTCGCCGACCTGGCCGGCAACGACAAGCTCGAGATGCCGGTGCCCGCCTTCAACGTCATCAACGGCGGGGAGCACGCCGGCAACGGCCTGGCCTTCCAGGAGTTCATGATCCTCCCCACGGGCGCGGCGACCTTCGCCGAGGCCATGCAGATCGGCGCCGAGGTATGTATGGTATGGTACTGGTCGTGCCTTGTGGTTTGGTGGGAGTCCCGCGACGCCCGTGGCGCTGCCGGGCCTGTTTGACCGTGTGCATTGCGGTTATCGAACTAAACGGGATGAACGACTAAACGACATGGGTCGGTAATGCGGTAGGAGTGCCGTGTGGAATAACGCCATCGTACATGTCTCTGCGGGTCGACCTAGCTAGTGTAGGGTTCTTGTAGAACAAAACGGAGGTTGTTCGCTTTTATCCCGTTGGCTTGTGATGGAGGCCAATTCCAAGGTCGGGGATTCGGTCCCACGATGAATGAGGCGATCGCATGTTTTTAGATGCATGGCCGTCGTCTTTTTTTTTTCCATTTGTTTCCCTTGCTCTCCTCTGCTGGTTTCTTCACTCTGATGTGCATCATGCGAAATTTAGGTGTACCACGCCCTCAAGTCCGTCATCAAGGCCAAGTACGGCACCGACGCGTGCAACGTGGGCGACGAGGGCGGCTTCGCGCCCAACATCAAGAACAACCGCGAGGGGTGCGAGTTGCTCATGACGGCCATGGAAAAGGCGGGGCACACTGGAAAGGTGCCACATAAAACAAGAATACAAGATACAGTAGCCAGAGACGGTTGTTGGGGGTAGCGAATTGAATGAGATGATTGGTCGGAGCCCCCAATATTTTTGTCGTCAGTCTGAAATATGAATTAATAGAGATCGATGAGGAACTATTGGTTGGTTTTGGTGGGTTTGTCGCCGCCTCGTTTCCGCGATGCACCCTCATGATGATGTCCTCGACTTGATCACGGCTTGTTCGTGTTGATCATGTCACCGATGTCCAAACTTTCGCGTCACGACTGCATTCAAACGCCAGGAGCTTGCCTCCCATCATTACCCGTCAGTATCCATCTACACCCTCGCTTCTCCAGCATCGTATCCGGGGAGCCAATACTTGTGGTGTCAGGCTCTTTTAACACGAAAACACCTTTGTACGCCCGGTCCTCTTCATCCCGAAAATAATATACGACGTGGGCGAATAACAGGTGGTGATCGGCATGGACGTGGCCTCGTCGGAGTTCCACACGAGCGACAGCATGTACGACCTCGACTTCAAGGTGTGTTGGGTTGTCACGGTACTGCTGTATGTATGTTGCTTTGCTTATGTTACGTGGTATCTGTATCCTGGGCATGGAGAGGCGGGGGGGGGGGGGGGGGGGGGGGGGTAAACTTTTGCTTTTGAGCCTTAAAGGGGAAAAAAAATTAAAAGCGGGCCCCCAAAAAAAAAAAAATTTTTTCCAAAAAAACAAAAAACAAAGGGCAAATCTTTTTTTTTATTTTTTCAAAAGGGGGCCAAAAAATTTTTCCCCTTTTTTTTTTTCCCAAACAATTTAATTTCCCCCTTTTTTAAAACCTTTTTATCCCCCCAAAACGCCACCCCCCCCC